CATTATGAACACAATGGTTTGTAGTGCAAACAGTTTTACTGTATACTGCACTTTGTTATTCTTCTCGTTGTTTCCCTACAGCGGCTAATGAACCAGAAGTCTCGCACATTGACAGAAAATGGCTTACTTCCGTGTTGAAAAATAAGGTGGATAGACCTACAAGCAGTCACGCTTGCACTCATGTTGTTTTCCCAAAGCACTTCAATTACTTGCGTCACTCGGTGTGCGTCAGCACTCATATAAACACTTGCTTGGAAACTTTTCAGTCCATACCTTGCCAGACTTCTTCCTGGCTTTCCGTCGGAATCGTAAGAGTTCTTTGTGTTGCCGTGAAACAAAGTTGACTGCAGCATACTCCAACAGGGCAGAAAAGACAAATAACAAGCACACAGCCATCCAGATATCAATTGCCTTCACGTAAGACACCTGCACAGAAGAAAGACACAAACACATCCGATCTCACATACTTAGCCTTTGCCTTTTCATTCCAGCCTGCATAACAACAGCCCAGTCGTTTTATTATTGAACAGCATAGGGATCCGTCAGACTATTGTCCTTATCACAGCTATGAATCATAGATAATTCTCTGCCAGGTGAAAAAATACTTTTTTTTCTGGAATGTTTAATTGTGTTACATAACTCAATGTAGCATTTATGAGTTTTTAATATGCAATACACACTGCATGCCAGCTTTCACACATGGATGCACTTTGCACATTTCACTCTGAGCTGCATTAATAAATGATAACTGAGAATGAATGGCAGAAAAAGAGATGTGTAGAAGTGCTAATAGAACTTACACCATTATACTCACCAGCGATGCAGCATCTTTGTTACAAATGTGAATAAGGGTCTTTTTTTAATACCGTATGCACTCTTACCTTAGGTAAGGATGTCCTGGATCCAGAGCTCTGAGTTGTCATCGTGAGCACTGTGGTGATTCCCAGGGCAACACGGGCAGGAGCGGCATCCATGTTGATCCAGAAGGAGACCCAGGACAGGATGACGATGAGCAGGCTGGGAATGTACATCTGGATCAGGTAGTAGCCCATCTGTCTTTCCAGGTGAAAACGTACCTCGATGCATGTGAACTTGCCTAGCAGAAAGAAAAGTGGACAGAGGGTTTTATAAAAAAGTTTTATTTTATTTCGTTTGCTTTAAAGGGTTAGTTCACCCAAACATTTAAATTAGCCCATAAATTACTCACCCTGAAGTCATCCTAGGTGTATATGACTTTCTTCTTTCAGACGAATCCAGTCGGAGTTATATTAAAAATTGTCTTTGATCTTTTCAAGCTCTATCGTTGTACTCAGCGGGTGTTGCAGTGCTTCGGTTCAAATGACGTGAAATAAAAAGCACCCTTCCACAAAAAAAAGTCTCTCACACGGCTCCGGGGGGTGAACAAAGGCCTCCTGTAGCGAATCGATGCGTTTTTGTAAGAAAAATATCCATATTCAAAACGTAATAATCACTTGAATCTAGCTTGCGCTCACTGTTGTAAACGAAAGCAGTTCCGGGGGAATGACGTATGAGGTCAGCGTTGCGCATGCGCCGGTGCGTCTCGTGAAAACCAACGTTTGTTTACAGGATCAAAAGAAGCAAAGTTTCCTTACTTTAGCAAAGGAAAACCAGTCTCCTCTTGGCTTATATCGAAATCCTCCGACATTCTTCTTTACAAATCCTCGTTTTGTACTTCTAATAAGTGACCGTTGTTTTGTTTCGATCTCTCCGCGTGCGTCACTTCTGAGCCGCGCATGCG